CACACACCTCAAATTGAAAAGAAAACTCGTGGCAGAAACACCCCTTGGTTGTCAAGCACGATAAGGAAAGTAATCACTGAGAAATCATTTTTACCGCCAAACTCGGTAAAAATGATCAGATTACAGTGTAACTCGGTGTTTGTCCTGCGGCGCAGGACAAACACCGAGTTACACTGGTCCAGATATGAGACTGAGAAATCAGGTCACCACTATGATTCGTAAAGCTAAATCCAGCTACTATCGCAGAATCATGGAAGAAAATCTGATGATCTCGAAAATTTCTGGAAAGCTGTGAAGAAAGTCCTTCCCAACAAATCGTTTACACCTCAACCTTCAGGTTCTATTGAGCTTATCACAGTAGATAGAAAAACAACTACGGATGCTATTACCATTGCAAATGGTTTTGCACATATTTTGCAACTGTTGTGGAGAAATTGCTTTCTAATATCCCAACTCTTAACAGAAACCATCTGAGCGCAGAAGCATGTTTCAATAACTCAAGTCTATCCTTGTTCTCCATGAAACCGGGATCAGCTGCGTTTGTAAATCGTCAACTTAGGTTGCTCAAAACATCGAAAGGTACAGGACTTGACAGAATTCCAGCCCGTCTATTAAAGGATGCGGCTTAAAGCATTTCAGCTCCTCTGGCTGCCATAATAAATCTCTCGATTTCCTCTGCAGTTATACCGAAGGAATGGAAATATGCAAGGGTAGTCCCATTATATAAAGAAGGGGATAAGACGTGTATGGATAACTACCGTCCCATCTCCGTTTTATCGGTGACCTCGAAGATCCTTGAAAGAGCCGTGCAAATTCAGCTACTCCATCACTTAGATAAGTCCAACCAGCTATCTCCCTTCCAGTGCGGTTTTCGGAAAAATCACTCTACCCTGGACGCGGTAACATATTTCACGGATTGTATTAGGAAAGGTATAGACGATGGTCGCGTTACGGCAGCGGTGTTTGTCGACTTTCGAAAAGCCTTCCGCAGTGTGAATCACCAACTTCTCATAAAGATATTGCCTGGGTTTGGCCAAAACCAAGAGCTGAAGTGGTTTGAGAACTATCTTACAAATCGATGTCAATCTGTTGTCTATGGCAGCGCACAGTCTACTTCTCAGCAGATAAAGTCTGGCATCTCACAAGGGTCCATACTTAGTCCCATCTTGTTTTCGATGTATATTGACTTGCCCAACTGTCTCTTTCAGTCACAGATCCTACTCTATGCGGACGATGCTCTCCTTTTCTACGGTGACTCAAACATCAGGAAAATAAGTACTGTTTTGAATAAAGACCTAAAACAGTTGCAGTCCTGGACTAATCATAATAAATAATGCATTCATCCTGTGAAGACCGAAAACGTTGTTTTTGGCACTCAATAACGAATCGCTTCAGCAATCTTGTCAAACGGGCCACTTAGCTTATTCCTCGGGGAGAACCCGATAAATCAAGCTCAACATTACAAATACCTTGGTGTGGTGATGGATGCAAATCTAAATTTTAAACAACATGTGGATAAGCTACTGGTCAAGGTTTTTAAAAGAGTCGGTGTCCTCGGAAGAATTAGGAACAATCTAACTGTTGACTCAGCCAACAAGGTTTATCACTCTCTTGTTTTTCCAGTTATTGATTATTGCGATGTTGCATGGAGTAGCATCGGGAAAATAGAACGTCGTAGGTTAGATCGTGCACAGAGAAGGGCGGCAAAGATTGCCTTGAAGACCAAAGATTCAGACGCCGAGAAGAATTTAAAGTGCCTTCCCTTGTTTATGAGGCGTGACATGCATACTATTAATTTAACTTTCAAATGCTTAAAGGAATCCCCCCCTCCAATGTTTTTTAAAGATTATTTTAAGCTTTTTAGAACTATTCACAACACGAGGGGAAGTGGGAAGAACTTAATGCTTCCCAAGGTGAGAACTGAGACTGCAGGGAAGTCTTTTTATTTTAATGGGTCGAAACTTTTTAATGATATTCCTAATGAACTAAAAGATCTTAACTCACTCATGATTTTTAAAACTCGTATTTTAGAATTCTATAGATCACAAGCCTTTTAACTACTTTTAAAGTTGGTGACTGTATTTAGGTTTTTTGTTTTTGTTGCAGGGCCCTTATTGATATCAGCATTTTATGCTGAAGAGGTCACCCTGGTTAAATAACATTTATTGTTATTTATTATCATTATTACTTTAAAAAGCATAACCTGCACAGGGTATACCCGTTTAGGGCTAAAAAAAGGAACTGTGTCGGTGGAGAGAGGGGGGGATTACTCACAACTGCGTGTCAAAAATACATGATTTCTAGAACTCTCACAATGTTATACAACTTACCAATAGTAAGGATCATGGCGACTGGTACATCCTTGGAAGGGTTGTTTGACTCTTCCACTGCTGTTGCAATCACGTCAAATCCAACAAACGCAAAGAAGGCAGCTGCTGCAGCTGTGAGGACGCCAGAAAAACCGTACGGCAAAAAATCATTTGTCCAGTTCTTTCTTTCGGCAAAGACGGCTCCAAATATGATAATGAATATTATCACAAGAACATTTACCGTTGTTATTACATTAGTTGTCACTGAGGTAAGCTTCACTTTGAAACATAAAATCGCGGAAACTACTAATACCAGAAAAAACGCGAAAAAGTCGGGATAGTTCGCGATTACTCCGGAAACGCCGAGTTTTCCTATTCCCGTGATCGTAAAGTTCTTGATAGCGTCATTTAACAAAGAAGCATCCAAGTATAAACTCCAAGCGCGGGCCATTGACGATGCCGCAATTACATACTCAAGAAATAAGTTCCAACCGATTATAAAAGCGCATAATTCGCCGATGGTAACGTAAGCAAAGGTGTACGCCGAACCAACCCGCGGCACACGCGCTGCAAACTCTGCCTAACAGAATCCTGCCAATAAACTTGCTACTCCAGCGATAAAGAAGGATACCACTAAACCCGGTCCTGCAACATCTCGCGCTAATGTTCCACTTAGTATGTATATCCCTGCTCCAAGAGTTGTAGCGACGCCGAGCGAAGTTAAATCAAACCTGCTCAAACAACGAGATAGTTGTGTGGTGTGGATGATACTCGGATCTATAGCTTTCTTTCTGCCCAGTGTTGTCGTCAGACACTCCATAATTTTCAAATTAAGTCATGGATCATTCGCGGATTTCGTCTTCTGCTGTCAATTTCTTGTTGCCTTCAGCTTTATTAATTGTCGATTGATTGCTCGAAATGCGCATCAGCCAGCTGCCTCGGACTTGAGAGCTGAAACAGTCACATCTTTAAAGGAGCTCTAACAAAGATAAATTTATGGTGAAGAAACCTAGCACTTATGTCTAAAATCTTTTCAGATTACTGGTGACCGCTTGTGTTGGAAATATTGTTTCAACTGTTTTTGTGTCACATTTGATCGATATGCAAATGTATAATGCTCAAGGCTTATGATCATTGTAACATGGTAATTTCTGATTACGATTTCCCACCAGGCAAGATATTTCATCCGTTTCACCTGGCGTAAAGCCAACAGAATTTTAGTTTTTCTCTTTTATTGAAATTACTTCTTTCAAATTCTATGCCAGTTTTTATTGTGTATTTAGCTTTTGCCCCAACTAACGAGGTTTTAAAGAAACTTTCATTAATTTTTAATGATAAGAGTGATCCTATCATTTAAAAGGTTTTTAAATTTGCATTCGTTAGAAGACCTTGGGCATGATCAAATTTGAGGCGTAAGTTTTTATCGTCATGTATTGCTGATTATGGAATAAAACTAACTTGAAATCCAACAAGATGATATACGATTTGCTTTTCGCTGTTAAATTGGACTTTCTCTGTAGTTCTTTCGTGCTATGTGCTCAATTAATTATTCAGTGGAAGACATACATGAATGGGTAATCAAAAGTTTACGTTAAAAGCATTGTCTTCCCAGCAGGGCTAGAGTTTTCCGATACTGAGTCAGCCAGGCCAAAGGTTCCGCTTAACAGTCGCTTGACCAAAATAGCTAATTTTTCCTCCTAGTCTAAACTTTTTCCTTTCTAACATTTGTTATCAATGACATCGAGTCTAAGGGCTGCTTTTTACTCGCGAAAGTAAGTGAGCTCGCGTGTTTCAAGCTGAATTTCTACAGTACTCGTCGTCTTCCTTTCTTCCTCACGCGCGTAACGTGTAAATCGTTTGACCATTGCTTGTTTTGTGCCTGCCACAGGGACTAAGGTGGTGACCAAGTAGTGGGGCAGTAAATACATTTTCTAGTTATTCGCTCTTTCGCCTATCAGCTTTATATGCATTTGTTAATTTTTTTTTTTTTTTTTTCAGGAAGAATTGATAAAGCAAGGAAATATAGAAACAACAGGAACTTTGTAGGATTAAAAAAAAAACTGGCCAAAAAGAAAGAATATATAAACATTGTAAATGCGTCACTAATGAATGAACTGTGTCATCTAGTACTAAAACAGAAGGGGAAAAAAATGGGTTCACCGAGGTTCACCGTAAAAGAAATATCAAATAAGCAAGGAGGAAGAAAGAAAGAGACATGGGAACTACGCAAATCAGCAGAGCAGAGACTGGTATCAAGACTTCTTGATTGGTTGATATTCTCCGTTCGAAAAAAGGCGGCCATTTTTACCGAGTGTTTATTTGGAATAAGAAACAGTCTCCCTTTATTTTTTAATTAACCGAACCTTTAATACACTTTTACCGAAATAGAAATACAAATTATGGATGTAGACTTTGTAATTCCGTTGTCTAAGGACGACTTATTGAGCGGTGAGGCAGGATCTTACGTTGTGGACGAAGTACTATCGGTGCGTGTTCTTCCGAACAAACTTCGAGGTAAGTTTCGTTGAAGTCGACGAAACACTCGCCGCATTTTACGCTTTTCTGTTTACGTTGCCATGTTGATCAACTTTTAGAATGCTTATCTGAGCTTCGATCTGGTACACCGACTGCCATCGTCCAAAACTTTGACTGTTTGTTCAGTCTTTTGAGGTAAGATTGCTTCTTCGTTACTGTTTCTCTAAATCCACAACTAAATCCTATGGATATCCCTCCAGGTTAATAATTCTAAATTCCCCTGCCAATTGAGTTTATTTGTACCGATAGGAATTGGATGGCTAAGGTGCAACTGTGTTCTTAAGAAGAATTCTTTAACAAATACATGAACTTCAAGCAAGACAATTTTTCCTTGCAGACATTTTAATCAAGTGGACAGTTCTCTTCGAGAAAGTACTTGGAATATATTGCTTGAAGGTATTCACAGTTATACGGCAGTTTTTTAAATATGCGCAGTGAGAAGTAAATTGTATGGCTGTATACAATGAAATTAAGCCATGATAACAAAGTTCTTAGTATATTTTAGTATTGCATGGCGGAAGGGTAACATCTAAGCTCAAAATAACAGCTTATCCGTGGATACTGTATGGACGCTATGAGTATTTGTTTAGATATACTAAAAGGTGTTTTTAATTTTTGTCAAAAGCACGTAAAGACGAGGGGACACATGAATCCCTCATGCAGTTGTTTTCTTTTTGTGGCAAAATTTACTGCCCTTTGTACCTCTTTTTACCGCTAAAAATCTCTCGGATTTCTTGAAAATTCAACGAGTAGAAGGACTGCTCTACTGGTTTGAAAATTTCTTTACCTGAGATAAGGGAGAACACTAACCCTTGGATTTGTGCTCTGATGTAATTGTTCCACCACTGTACTACAAGGAAGTCTCTGATGAGCCACAGTAAGGTATAACATACCTGATACTGGTGGAGCATCAAAACACAAATTCAAAGTTCTGTCTTCCTCAGATTTTTCACTTTGCCTCTACTGAAAAATGAAAAACATGCATGAATCTCTTTATTCCATTCATTCAGTTATACTCTAGGTTCAACAGTCATTTTGACCGTTTACCTTGATGATTCTTATATAGGTTTCATTTTGCCTTTAAACTACTTAAACACAACTACATGACATTTATTTTTATTTAAAGGTGAGTACTATTTAGCATTTGCCAGTCAACAAGACTGGTAACTGTCTGATGGTTATTTTGGGTTGATTTATGTAAAATTCATTCATTCATTCATTTTATTTGCCATTACCAGAAAAAAATTAACCCAATACAAAATTTATGATACATCAAAGATAAAAAGAACTATTCTATCTAAATTAACTTCAAAATCAAAGGAACTGAAGAGGTAACAGCAAGGAAGCCTATTAGAAGCCAGAGGCTTACAGAGTATAGGTTTCCTTAAACTATATGATAAACCATACAAATCAAAGGTGCTGAATGAAAATTTAGATTAAGTTAAAAAAAAAAGAAAAGGTGTGTAGCTTAACAAAGAATATATTTAGCTAAGAAAGAAGAATTTTTTTAAGCCTTTTGCTAAACAAGCTGATGCTTTCAGAGTATTGAATTTCTCAACTTAGGGTGTTGAAAAACTTAGGACCTTGAAACCAAATTGAAAATTTTCAAAAATTAGTTCGACAATGAGGTATGTAGAAAAAGCTGGAGTTTCTTGTATTAGAAGAATGTATCTGGCTAGCAAGAGTAAACATATCATGAAAATAATTAGGAAGTAAGCCTCTTTTAACCAGATACATAAATTTACCTATTTGGTAGAAATAGATGTCCAAGAACTTTAAGATCCCATGTTCTTTAAAAAGAACATCGGTATGTGAATCAAATGAAACTTTAGATATGATTCTGATTATCTTTTGCAGAAGAATAAATTATGATTTAAATTAGACTGATATGTCGATCCCCAAACTGAAACACAATAAGTTAAGTAAAGGTAAACTAAACTATAATATAAGGAGCACGAGGAAGTTTTGGAAAGGCAGAAACCGGACTTGTAAATAATACCAATTGATTTGGATATTTTTCTAGAAACGCTAAGAATGTGAGGCTTCCATGACAAATGCTCATCAAGGATAACACCTAGAAATACTGTTTCTTTCACACATCCAATAACATTGTTGTCAATTTGAACAGATATATCAAGTGTCTACCTTTTTTGGCAAGGACTAAAAATCATAAAATTCAATTTTTTAAAGTTAATGGACAGCTTATTCGCTCGACACCACTGAGTTAATTTAAGCAATTCAGAGTTCAAAATTTCAGGAAGTAAATTGAAATCTTTGTGGGACAAAAATATATTTGTGTCATCAGCAAAGAGAATAACGTCTAAGTCCTCTGACACATTGCACAGATCATTTATATAAAGTAGAAAGAGCAGGGGGCCTAGTATCGAGCCCTGAGGCACCCCGCACTTTTTTTCACAAGAATCTGAACTGATACCATTGAATTCCACATATTGTTCCCTACTGCTTAGATAGCTTTTAAATCAACTAAGTGTAGTGCCTTGAATACTATAATGCTCTAATTTTGAAATTAAAATGTTATGATCAATGGTGTCAAAGGCCTAAGACAAAACTTAATAAGAATTAAAAGTTTTTTTTTTTTAATAAAACATGATTTATGGATGCTTTTTGTTTAGTTCTCTGCCAGTTCACAGTTGTGCTTCATGAAATACTGGAAGATGGAGACATTGATTTTCAAGTGCGAAGGACACATCTCAATACTCTTAAGGTATTCAAATCAAGTCTAGCACATTATTCTACAAATTAATTCACTTAAAGAGCCATGCCTAGGACTGCAACCCTTTAGACTAGGGGCTACATATCAACAATCTGTGAAAGAAACTTCTTTTTCCTAAAATCTAACCAGTTGATAAACAGACGAAGCAAATGATTACAGTCAGGAAACAAGTTTCTTGCCATATTCCAATAAGTGAGCACTCTCATTCGTAGCATATTAAGAATCAAGGGTGTGGAAAAGATTGGTATTTCTTCTGTTAAATTTGGTTGCTCAATTGTTTATTGCAGATGTTGTGCTATACATTAATGCAGTTGGCAGATGCATTTGAAGTTGAGGCCACCAAGCCTTCAACTGAGGTCATAGTCTCAGGAAAGGTATTTACCTAAAGCCTTATCATTCAATTTTGCAATCCCTGGGTTTTGATTGGTTTAAATTTGAAGGTTAATCTGGGTATCTTCGATCTTATAGTTTAAATTTGTTCTCATTACTTGGAATAATTGTGGAATGCTATATTTAGACAGTGTGTTGTCCAGGAACAACCATCATCTAGAGCCATACACATTTAGAGGTCTATTTTAAGTTTATTTTTTCCAACTTGTAAATGAAGTTTTAAATTTTTTATGTAACCTCTGATACTAAAAAGACATAAATACTTATGAACATTGTTAATAGATCATCACTAAGAACTCAATATTGATATGGTTTACAGCATTAGTTATACATAATTAGCTATGCATAACAGAATTTATGATCATTTTTGTTACATATTAAACCTAATTTTACTTTTAGCCCATGGGTAAAGTTCATTACTTACTCAACCTTAAAACCTTTAATTCCCATGAGTAACCAAGACACAATTTCCCCACGCGATATTGATACAATACTGGCCTATCAGACAAGTGACGAGAAAAAAGAAAATATCAATTAAGGTGGCTGAACACAGTTTTCTCGTGCGCTTTTGCTGACTTACTTAGAAAATTCAGTTGTAAATTGGTTAATTCATCAAATTTTTTTTAATTGCTTGACTGGGCCTTGGTTTCTTCTAAAATTTGATAATCATGCTGGAATTGCAATTTCATATAATTTATTCTCTGGTTTACTAGCGAAAGGGAAAGGCAGCCACTTCAAAGAAGAAGACTTCATCATCATGGGAGTGGGATGAACAGCGTGACTTTCTGATTCAAACCATGGGACAGCTGATGCAGCTTGATGTGAACAGACTGTGGGATCCACCCATTATAGAGGAAGAATTTGTCAAGTATGGGTGGAGAATTTTGTTTACTTGATAGTTTAACTGTACTTAAAGGACATTTGTTCTTGTTATTGACTCATGATTGGTAAATATATTTTGGTATGTTACCTATCTGTTTCACTTTTTTTTTTTATCAGTTTAGTCACTGGCTGTTGTTACAAATTCCTTGAGAATCCAACATCTGTTAAAAATGTAACAACAAAAGATCTGATCTTTAATCTTCTGGGAGTAATGGTGAAGAAATACAACTATGGTTTGGGTGAGTCCAGTTTTCATTACTCTAAATGTAGAATTTAATGCTGCGGCTAATTACATTGGTTGTGATATTAAATCAAACGGATAGAGAAGACACACAGTCATGTGATACTTGTTCATCGTTTAAAGTAAGTATTTGTCCCAATTTCAATTATATCTCCTAGGCATCAGTCTGAAGATTGTTCAGCTCTTACAACACTTTGAGCATCTTGTCCAGCCACTGGCTCAGGCTGTACAAACATTTGTTGATGAGTTTTCAGTTAAAGGTGTTGTCTCTGAGGTGGTAAGGTGAGTGGCATTTTGATAAGTTATGAAATTGCACACTTCGCACATCTTAAGTAGATTGTGGGTTATTTTGTGGCTTCTTATTATAATAAAAGTTGCCCATTATGATTATATATTATTTTATAGTTATGGATTCTTTACACACTTCAACAGGATTTGACACCAAGGGCTCATTACTAACAGCTTAGCTATAACAGAGTGTCACATGAAATGAAAAATACAATAAAATTAACCTATCAATTCCCATGATTTAAGACTTTTACAATTATTATGACTAACTGGGAAATTGGTAATGAGTCTGTGGACTGTGTCAGTCTGAGTGAGCAAGCGTACTGATGATGACCCATCAGTTGTGTTTATCAGCCCACTCTTTCTTGTTCCCCCCCTCCACAATTTAACCCTTTGACCCCTTAGAGAGACAGTGTACATATGTACAATACATTAGATTTTTTTTCATACTACAGAGAGATTGGTCGCATGGATCCAAGAGATCTGGCACGAGACACCAGTGGCACACGTGCTTATGCAGACTTTTTAGTAGAACTTGCTGGCCGGGTCCCAAGTCAGATCATCCCTAACATCAGTGTACTACTCTGCCACCTGGATGGAGAGGTAAAAATCTCATAATTTCAAAGAAAAGTTGTCCAAATTTTTTGTCTAGATTTATGTTATCGTTCAGTGACAACTTGGAGAAATATTTTAATTTCCAAGCAAGTCTTTGGATTTTTACTTGGGAGATGGACAGTCATTGAAGAGTATGGAAAATACTCTGTAGGAAATAGGCAATGAGCAAAGACTAAGGTTATGAACTTGCAAATGCTCATCATAAATTTTAAGACATGTTATACAATGATCAATTTCATTACAGTCCTATTCAATGCGGAATGGTATCCTTGCTCTGATGGGTGAGATTGTCATCAAAGTCCTCTCCAAAGAAGATCTTGATGATGCTGCCAAGAAACTTAGAGATCAACTACTTGACAAATTGGAGGTGAGCATTATGCCTGAAAAAATAAACAAAGACAAGATTTGGAAAAAAAATGCACACCTGCAGTCATGCTATATTTAATCAAACCCTCAAAACATTTGTAATGGTACCACAGTCAGATGAACTAGGTTGCAAAATTAATGCTCAGACACATTAGAGAGTTTCAATCAGTCAGGAGCACAAAAAGTGGTTGTAATGAAGGGAATGGTATAATTGATGTAGTTGTTTTCCTGGGGATCCCCTTGAAGAATAATGAAATACATAATTGTATATTTAACAAAGAGGCTCGTGCATCTGTTCAGCAATTGATCACAGAATGTTGTAAGAACAAGATAAAGTGGAATGCAAGGTGCAACTGAGTGTGTTACAGATGACCACATTTTGACATCTGTGATGTATTACTGTACAGACCCACAGCAACATGGAAACTACACTGTGTATCGCATCTCATAGATCATAAGAACCAATCAAAAGCATGTATAATTCAGTTTATCATGTAATGATCTTTATGTTCTCATTTTTTTTCTTTGATAAGCAAACACTCAATGATATTGCAAGACTTTTTACAGCTCATTTTATTGGAGATGTCTAGAGAGGTGCTGTCTACATTTCATGTCATTTTAAATTATTTTCATCACCAGGACCACATTCATGATGTCAATGCCTATGTGAGAAGCAAAGCCCTCCACATTTGGCTTGAACTTTGTAAAGAAAAGGTAATTTTAGCCACTACACCATGAATACTGTGGACATGATCAATTTATGTGTACCACTGGATTCAGTGGTATTCAGTTTGAACATTTCTTTTTTCTTCACTCTGGGGTGTACTAGCTGCTTGCAAACCATTGATTTCTCAGCATGTGAATGAAATAAACTTCTCTTTAAGGGTAAACAAATTAACCAACTTCTATATTGGAAATAAAATCCCTTTTACCTGGTCCACTGAATAGTGAACAAAATAAAATGGCCATAACCCACTAGATAATCCATGAAACTTTAAACTTGGATAAACTGCCTGATAATAGGAGGATCAAAAATCTTTTCAGGATGATTGCAGTTTTCCAGAAAAGTAGCTTCTTAGTTTTTACAGGTCTGGAAAATATAACCAAGACCTACCAGAGAAACAAAAAACAGTCTGCATGCATATGGCTATGTTTGACTCTACCATGACAAAATAATACGCATATTTTTCTTTTCACAGGCAATTCCCCTTTCACGTCAACCCCACCTTCTGGAGCTGGTGATAAATCGCCTTCAAGATAAATCAAGTATTGTGCGCAAGAGTGCTATTCAGCTTCTGAAAACGTTCCTCATTTGCAATCCCTTTGGGGCGCAGGTGAGTTACTGTTAGTAGAAGTTTGTTAAATGTTGTAATTGACACTTGGTTACAGCTATTATTTTCTGGGCAGGTCTGTTGTTTAGACCAATATACATTTAGCAACTATAAGCTTCACTCAACAATAATTACAGGCAGCTGGAGAGGAGAATTCTATTCTATGTACAGGCAGGGTTTTCATTAGAAGTTGATAGGTTGGGGTGACCTGATAACTGTCAGAACATTTTGTACCAGCTACTTTTTGTGAATTGTGAATCGTGAATATTGATAAAAGACAGAAAATTTCAGTTTAAGTTTAAGTTTAATTCATTCGCCACAGGAATGGCAGGAGAAAGGAACAGAACTTTCGTTCCAATTGACACCTAACCCCTTTTTTACCCACCCATCCCACCCCGGGGAGGACATCCATCGCACAGTAATCTCGTGTGTGGGAAATTAACGTCTCCTACCCCAACCCTGCAGGAGACGGGACCTCCATTTATTCGTCCCTATCCGAGAAGACTAGAAAGTCTAACCATTTGCAGATATTATTACAAAGGCAGCACTTTCTTCTCAGTTAATTAAAGACCCTGAGTGTTGGTCCGGCCAGATTTGAACTCACGACCTCCCCACAACAGTGCGGCGCTCTACCAATTGAGCTAACCGGGAGGCAGTTAGCTCAATTGGAAAATAATTATTTTGGAGCTGATTCTAACATTGACGTTGGGCTTCAAAAGGTTAATACTGAATAATGTCCCAGAATGCTAATTTAATCATGTAGAAGAGTTTCAAATTTTTCCAGGGGGAATATTCCCTAAGACCTCTATAGAGGGAAGAGCTGCCTCCTCAGTTCAGGTCCTACATCTAGTATATTTCCTAATGATGACCCTGACAGGCTCTCAATAGCAGTGCAGCACTAGTGGCAAAATTGAAAACAAGTACATAAATAAATAAGTAGTCTCTTCATACTCTGGACATCAATCAAGGCTCAGTCCTGTAACCACAAGGTTGAGCTGCTCAAACAATGAAATCCTTTCCCTAGTTTTTAATTACTAAAGTTGGTGAAGTTTCACAGAACATGACTGAGTTCATGAATGTAAAACAACATAACGGACTCCATCTCTAATATTTTTATGTTTCTGTAGTTACCTCTGGACCATTTGCGACAAAACTTTTTGAAAGAAACTGAAAAACTAAAGGAAATGGCTCCACATTTATGTGAGGATCAGGATGGACAAGGTATGGTATTTTCAAATGTTTTCTTTTAAATGGTTTGGTTTAATGCTCCTCTTTAAAGTGCCGCTACATATGGTCAGAACAGCAAACTACTGGTAGCTAACTTTATTAAAAAATGAAGTTAGAATTAAAAGTGAGTGAGTTAAAATATGCAGAGAGGTCAGCTGGCCCAAACCAGTTATTGCAACATTGAGTAACAAGAAACAAAGTTAAATCCTTTAGGATGTAATTGCATAAAGGTTTAACTACAGTGTCACAAGAAATGCGTGTATTACTAAGTGTCTTTCCCAAGAGGACAGAATATAGCAGTGGGTACTTGCTACAGGATCCAAAGAGCTCTGCAGATCATTTCCTATTTACAATTTATTAAGAATACTTTTTTTGCTCTGTAAAGATCTAGGTCAATGGTGTTAACAAATTGACAGTGGTTAAGCTTGGTCTCTACTCTTATTGACAATGATAATGGTCATCACAGTGGTCAAAATGTTGTGGACTTGCAAGGCGTGGCCCATTGAGTCCACAACAAATTTTGACCACAGACCACACTAAACCACTCTTGATCTGTTTTTCACCACAATATCAGAATGTAAAATAAAACCATTCTTTCAGCGCATGACACATTGACTGGAGCAACACTGTCTGCACTCTCATTGACATAGGCAAATTGGCCATTGAGGTTGTGATATTTCTGCCAGTTGTGGTAAAAAAATGGAATTGAAGAGTTTGATGATCTTACCTGCACAAACGATTGACCCTTTATACTGAAGAAGGTGGTACTACATCTGATTCAGTGAGCTGTAGACCACTCCTTTTGCCCTTGGGTGGCTTGTAAATGTTTAACTCTACAGTCAACTTAATACTTTGCCCATTGGTAACATGTATCTTGTCTTGGTCATGCACATGGGTAAAAGCATTTTCAATAATGATTATTTTTTAAAAGCTTTCACTTTGAACTGAGTGGTTGAATATGGTTGCATGTGCTCTTAGTGCCTGCTGTCCCTGAAGTTGAGGATGCAAAGAAAATCTGGGAGGCCATTAAACCTGAAGTGCAAGCCACTATAGAGGAGTATCTTGATCAGAAGGAGATCATTGATGAAGAAGATGACCCAGTGGAGTTCCAAGAAGATCAGGAGTCAGCTCTGGAATGGTAAGGGCTTCAGACTTCTGTTTGTTATGTTGAATGATCATCAGGTTTAGGGAACTCAGCGTCTCCACTCAGGGTTTTCTCTAACATGTGTGTTGTTCGTGTTGCTTAACAGTGCACTAAAGCAGATCAGAAATCATCTTTACAATGGTCATCACAAGAAAGCCCTTGCAGTACTGAAGGCTGCCGTGGTAACTTGGCCAGAGTACAGGATGTTTGTCTGTGCAGAAAGGGATCCAGAACAGCAGCAAGATGAAGAAAGGTACACGAACCACTGTGCTCCCTTGTACAATGTAGCTTGTAAGTGCTCCTTTCTAAACTGTGAAAATGAGTCACAAATGCAAGTTACTTTTGTCATCTTCCTCTAGTTAACAGGATAACTGTGGCCATCAGCTTCACCAAGGCGATACACTTATTGTGTTGGCTTAATGTTGCCTTAACTCGATGACCCCTGAGAGCGAGTAGCATCTATTATTTCTCCCGACTGTATCACCCCTGGATCAAACATTAAGGTCACAAGAATAATGAATATGATCACCAACTAAAGAACATCTTGACCTTAAGGAATGTACGGTGTATGAAGAACAGTATGGAGAATATGCATACTAATTTTAGGTTTAAAGGGTAATGGTGCCTTGCGTAGATGAGCTAATAGATAATCTGCAGTCACCATTTATTTTTTGCAACATTTTTCAAGTTTAACTGATTTAAATAAAATCTACAAAATTCAATTTCAGTAGCAAGAGTGAAGATGAAAATCATGAAAACAAGAAATCAGCTGAGGAGCAGCTGTCAATCATGCAGGCAGTATTTCTGGGTATGTTATTTACCAGTCCACTGTTTTCAACCTTACTCCTTTAGGGTCTTTTGGCAGTGAGGACGGAATGTCGAGGACTACGTTGATTAAAAATCGTGTTACTGTTTAATTTCCGCACAGCCTGATAATGTAAAGATGAAAAAATTTTTAGTGTAATAGAAAAGTCCGAGCCGCAGATGGGACTTGAACCCACGACCCTCCGTGATCTAGTCGGATGCTCCAACCACTGAGCTACTGGAGACTCTATGGTGAGCATGGGTCAATTGTGGGCCTCGACTGGAACCGCATCGCGCGGCTACACAGCCAGGTATTGATAAGCGCCTGTGAAACTCACTAACAGCATCACGCTGTCACATTAAAGCATATCAAGATGCGGCCAACCAACCTCCAAAGTGAGCATGTAAAGATGAAACAATTTTTAGTGTAATAGAAAAATCCGAGCCCCAGATGGGACTTGAACCCACGACCCTCCTAATATTTGGGTGAATTCAGTTTTCTGAATCGGAGTCACGACCACCTTCAGGATATTGCCAACGGAAAAAAAAAACGAGTTCTTGAAAAGACGTCATTTTACGTTTATGTTTATCAGAGGATGGCAGGAAATCAGTGATCATATTTATTCGTGTTTTTCTCGTTGCCATGTTCCCACCAATCACGTAGCTCCTTTTCCGCCTTTAACACATACAACCCACAATTCCTCTATTCGCTCCAACGAAGGGCTAACGCTCGAAACGTCAGCTTTTATAATCGTAACGGTGGCCAATTTACCATTTCAACTTTGTTGATATATTCAAATTATTTCGTTACCCCCACCGACGCAGCCCCAAACAGTTTCTTTAGAAACTATCAGCCTTTATTCAGTGATCATATTAGTCACATTTTCCCCAGTGTAGTAGTTTGGCAAAGGTCCCATTAGTGCGATTCAGTCTTCCGGAGGGGGGGAGGGGAAAGCTGGCTCGTTGGCGTTGTATGATCTAGGTTGGGGTCTAGGAGGAATGAAGTGATATACTCCTTGTAGGTCGCAATTTGTTCTCTCTTAAATCCTACCTAGTTGACTTAAAAGATTTACGCTCAAATTTACCCCTTGTCTCCCTAACCTTTGTGAGTTAATCTCGTTCTCAAGATAGGACTTATCGAGTTATGTTGTAAGCTAATCCCATGCAATGATCACGATGATCTAATATTTGTTTCTTTGTTTTGTTTTTGTTCACCAAGCCGGCGACAATGAGGAACCTACACCTCAAGTTGAAGGCAACGACCTTGATCCCAGAGAACTTCTCGAAGTTTCTGCGGAGCATGAAAACCGGGATACGTCAGCGGAGAACCCTAACAACGGACTGATTAATGAAATCACCAAACAGCAGATGGTGGTGCAGTTTCTGAAGGTAATTAGTCTGACTAACAATCACTGTCTTTTGCCCACGTAAAGATGAAGCAATTTTCAACTGAGGGTTAAAATATGTCCGCGATTGCACTAGGGTGGCAATAAAAGTCGCCGCAAGTGCACCCTTTCCACCAATCAGATACAAAACTTGCGAATCACGCCTTGAGCACCAGCGTTTCCCACGCTTCAGGTTGCGTATCACACTCAAGGCTGTGCTCTAAGAAAAAGTGAAGGGAGCCCACTGCTCTTAAATTTTGAAATACAGGGTGCCCAGCATATACTTTTATATGAAAAAAAATAAAATTCCAAAGTCGCCCAAGAGCGAAAGTAGGGCGCCAGGGGCCACCGGGCGCTGCTAAACCACAGCCCTATTTACTTCAGTTATCAGCGGTTCTTGATTCTCATTGGCTGTTTCTCGTTTTCCGCGCCCTTAGAAAGGGGGCTTTTTCCGTACCAACCAGCAGCGTGTTAGGAACAATCTTTGGTTTGCAAAAACCTTTCCATGGTTTTTACTTGTTCTATTTACCACTCAAAGATTTTGTTCGTTTTTGAATTTGTTGTCATTCGTCAAATTTTTGCACTCTCAGGTGATTATTTTTGCTCCAAAAAGACGGTAAATGCGTTCGTGGTACAGCTGTACTTTAAGATGATTTGTTTTTAATAGGATTACGTACATTTTCAAACCCAAATGGAGAAAGCCATTCCTACCTTGTGTCAACTTCTCGGCTCCAAAAGTATCACTGATGTGAATGAGTCCATCGAATTCTTTGTGATTGCCTCTGAGTTTGGCCTGCAGTCTGCCATCACTGGCGTGCGAAGAATGCTGGTATTAATTTGGTCACGTGATACCGCCGTTCGTGATGCTGTAGTGGAAGCGTACAAAGGCCTGTACTTGGACCCAGTGGCGCCAAATGCCAAGTACGTACTTTTTTTGTCACATTTAAAATCTAACTCATTCACGCGGACAACATCACCCTTTCATTCCCTAGATCTCTTTAGCAATTCTCCTTACTGTCCAACCTACGATTCTTCTGATGTTTATATTTTGGAGAATTACCTATTGGATCAACTAATAATCCCCTAATTGATGTTCTTCTTTTTTTTTTTTCATCACTTATCTGCTTGATAATGCAACTAGAAATTTTATCTTGATTACTGATGGGAGTTAAGAAGGGTTAATGCCATCTCAAAACTCTTCAAGTGGTGCCGTGACCAATCGAATGTTATGCGACCTCAGTACTGGTGCTTGTAGTAAGCGTGGCGTACTTTGGCTGGTAACTGTCTCCTTTCGAGTCCTTGTATGTGAAAGGTTTAGGGTATACTTTCTAAATCCCTTTCTATTTCAGAACTAAAACAGCGTTGATTGTGAAAAACCTTATCACTCTTACTCAAGGTGCTTCAATGGGTGATCTGACTTCTCTGGAGGAGCTGGTAAGTTTGCTCGCCCCAGACTTNATATATGTATTTCATATATATTTGTTGTTTGATTTATCATCTACGGGTTTATGTCGAATTAATTTGATGGCCTGCTCCCAGTTGGCTTGTTAGCTCAATTGGTAAAGCGCTGCACTAGTATCGCAGAGGTCAGTGGTTCGAATCCCGTACAGGCCTGATTTTTTTCAGGTCTGATTTTCGCTATTGCTTAAATAGCGCTATCTACTGCGAGGATCGTGCATCATATGTATCTAATACCGCAGTACAAAATATATGAACTTCATATATTTCATTGTATCTCACTAATTAACTTCTGCGGACAAAAAAAATATATATCTTCCTCTGCTATGTCCTCCCTGTTTGATAGTTCCCCCTATAAGGGAGAAAAAATATATCCAAAGATCAATGTAGAGATGGTATCACCTTAATTTCCTGATCACTTTACACATCTTCGATGTGAACGAGTAACATTTTATTAAGCCACCTGAAGTGTTTTCTATCTCCATCTCGTAGATGAGTGAGTTGATGAAAGGAAAACTTATTCCTGGTGCTGTTGTAAAGTTGTTGTGGGAGAAATTCACCATGAAGGTACTAACACAAAGTTTGTGTGAAACTGTATTATTCCGCATGAATCTGTGTCTCGTATTACTGGTTCTAATGGCGAGGTTGATACACAGTTTTCATACAGTACCGTCATTGGGACATTGTCCGCGTGTTTCGTTCAATGGACGTGTGTGTATTGCACGCATTTTGCCCGTGCAATGAACGAACGAAACCGAGACGAAAACGGGGGCAAATATTAGTTCGTGCACTTACTGTCTATTGTTTGTTTATTATTTTGTCCTATTGTTGGTATAATTACGGTTCTTTTTGTGTTTGTTTCACCGATCAGAATCCTTCAATTTTATTTTTTTTCTCATTAAGGCTCAGTTACTTTCAGCTTGAAGGAAACTACATGATTGTTATTGTTTTTAGACCGCAGTAAAAGCTCATGTTAAAGGTGCCCCATGCTGATCAAACTGCTCTGACATATCTCTTTATTTTTAAGTTTGAGCAAGGCAATAACTAGGAACTCAGAGGAGCAATCTAGCAAGTATAATGTTAACAACATAGAGCAATGTTCGAATGAGGATATTTGCTTCTGTGCAATTAGCAATCAGTTACTGTCGTTGTGTAGGTTCCACAGACGAATACAGAGGAAAGCAGAATGGCATTAGTTCTTTTGGGGATGTTAGCAGGGTAAGGTCATTAGTTATGTGTCATATTCAAAAGCCATTTAAAAAAAAAAAAAAAGTACCCTTGGAACTAACATAAGAGGAGTAAAATTTGTGGTTAGTAAAAAACTTCTCGCCAACGGGTTTCTTATGCTGCCAGCATTTTCAGTTTTATGATCTTAAGTATCCTTGGTTATGTTGCAGAGCTGAGATGGACATAGTGCGTACTAACATTGACGTGCTGGTCTCTACGGGCCTGGGACCGAGAGCTGAAGAGGACTTTCTCTTGGCACGTGATACATGCGTGGCTTTATTAAAACTTGGACAGACCCATAAGGTACAACACGGTAGAGTTTAATTTCATCCCTGCGTCTTGCAATTAATTTGAAAGAAATCATATGAATATGGACATAACCTAAATGATCCTCATAATGAACTTGGACAACCTATGCAGTTCCGAAAGAAGGCTAAAAAAGTGTTAAACTGATTATGTTTTGAGCAAACGTTGAACTTTTTTCAGGCCACTTTTTACAATTGCGAAACGTCGCTTTTTCATGTTTATTTGTTATTTTTCTTTTGTTGCTGCCCCTGTAGGTCTTGTCCTTTTTTAGGGGGGGGAGGGGATATTTGGTAGATCTTTGTCTCCTTCTTTTGATATCTGCAAAATCATCGAATGATAACGAAAGGTTTCTGTGTTCTCTCGTTGTTACATAATTTCTAACTGATTCCCTTACGTGGTTATAATTTATGTGTATGTATATGTATATGTGCACGATCCTTCGCAGTAAAGCACTATTAAAGCAATAGTGAAAATCAGACCTGAAAAAAATTCAGGCCTGTACGGGATTCGAACCACTGACCTCTGCGATACTAGTGCAGCGCTCTACCAATTGAGCTAACAAGCCAACTGGGAGCAGGCCATCAAATTAATTCGACATAAACCCGTAGATGATAAATCAAACAACAAATATATATGAAATACATATATTTGAACTGCGGTTATGAAACGTATATGTGCACGATCCTTCGCAGTAAAGGACTATTTAAGCAATAGTGAAAATCAGACCTGAAAAAAATTCAGGCCTGTACGGGATTCGAACCACTGACCTCTGCGATACTAGTGCAGCGCTCTACCAATTGAGCTAACAAGCCAACTGGGAGCAGGCCATCAAATTAATTCGACATAAACCCGTAGATGATAAATCAAACAACAAATATATATGAAATACATATATATGAACTGCGGTTATGAAACGTATATGTGCACGATCCTTCGCAGTAAAGAACTATTTAAGCAATAGTGAAAATCAGACCTGAAAAAAATTCAGGCCTGTACGGGAGTCGAACCACTGACCTCTGCGATACTAGTGCAGCGCTCTAGTATATGTATTTCATATATATTTGTTGTGTGGTTATAATTTGTTTCTTTATCTCTTTAGAAACCCGGCTGCAGTGCAGCAGAGCCGTTCAGACTTTCCCCCAGTCATGCGATATTTGAACGGCTCACGGAAATTCTTGCGTCAGGTTTGTACCAAATAAACGCATGACTTGATGGTCCTTGGCGCTCACTTCACGAGTTGGGTGATGGCTGCTGGAGAATACAGACATTTTCTATATAACTTCCTTAAAAAAAAATTGAGAAGAACGGTAATTTTTGACAAACCAAGTGATATTTTGATCAACGCTTCGTTTCCCCTCCACAATGATTATATTATTATTATTATTATTTTTATTATGAACATCATCATCATTATTATTATTAGTATTACTATTTTTATTATTATTTCACCATTCTCTCTATTTTGAAGTTCATCACTGTAGAGCAACTTTCCATTTAGTGTCAAAAGAAATCTAGGATTGTTTTGGTTTTGCTTTACTTTGCTCTCTGATTGGTCCGGAAAACTTGAGCCTATCTTTTAAGCAATCACATTCATAGCTATAACCAATCTTGACTTGGACGCCCGCGTTTTCCCGCGCTTAAGGCAGTTTGGTTGATTTTACTTTGAATTCTCATTGGCTCTTTACGGTATCAGTTTTCCTTTCTTGTGATTGGCCGTTGTACCTTTTTGGTTCCACGACACTTAAATCGAAAAGCCCTCTTTATGAACGCAGTACCTAGCTTTAGTTTTAAGCTTGCGCACAACTGTTTGTGCTTATGAGTTAATGTGAACATTTCCAGGCGTCCGCAAGCTTGATCAACTGGAGTGGACTCCGCTGATGGAACAAGCAATAACTGTGATTTATATCCTTGCTGAGCATCCTGAAACCATCGCAGAGAAACTTATCAAGGAAATAGCAGCTTGTTTACTGGATAAAACAACACAAGATAAGGAGGAACAGCAGAACAATCAGAACGGTAAATACGTACTGTCATGTCTCAACACTTGCTGTTATTCTACGGATTGACAAACAATTACACAGCTTTAAAATGGCCCATTGCTAACTGTGTGAAATCTCAGAATACTTTAAATTGTCGCTTGGTTAAAACATTGATCAACGTGTTGCTTTCCCTTTCGCTGTTTTATTGGTGATGCTGTTGGCTGAAGCTTGCACGTTCATCCGTTATTACTCCTCGCGGCTTACAGTTATCGTTCACTGGGGTTAATAGAAAATTTAGGGTAAAACTACCAACTGCACGCTTCGGGACAGGAGGGTTGTTTGCTTTCACCTCGAGTCCTGATTGGCTGTTGTGATTGCTTTGGTTTTGGTTTTAGGAAACTCAGTCGAAAAGTGCTCTAATTTTGAATTATCAAAATTTAGCTAATAACTAATAATTATGACTTTCTCATAATCAGACAATCAGCAAATGCGTTTTAAACGAGTCTTGTGCTGCCTTGTGAATGACTCGATACACCTATTACAATTGAGAAAAAGTTTTCGAACCGCTTGATAACGAATTTTTCGGTTTTAACCAGCAATTTTGTTGATTGCTCAAATAAATGAAGTTTTTTTCGTGTGGTTTGTCAGACTCCGTAGACAGTAACTCTGATGCAGACGGGCACAGTGTAAATTCACCAACCCCTTGCCACGCTGTTATTTTGGCGCGATTCTTCAGTTTATCTGGTCACGTGGCTTTACGTCACATGGTGCATTTGGATGTTGGAGTCCTGGGGGAAATCAAACGACGACAGGTGATTGAAGAGAATGATAAGGAGAAGGAGAAACACGCCAAGAAGACGGGAGGAGCTGGGAGTGGGTCTATCGCTAATTCTACAAAGGTATGGCGCAAACTCGGTTGGACAGATAGAAATAGTATGAGAGCATTACTTGGCAATCCCCAACAAAACAGTCGTTAGAACTGTTATTGACAGTTAATTGCAACAATATATATATCTTATTCACCAAGCGCGAGGGCCTTACTGGGAGAATATCGGCCCGAAGTCTTGACAGTACGGACCTCGCTACGCTCGGTGCGTACAAAAAAGACCGAGGGCCGATATTCTTCCTGTACGGTCCCGAGCAAGCTTGGTTAATAAGAGATTTATTATACGACTGAAGTTCAAAGGGACACAAGTGCGGTATCATGATTCGGGACCATTCGGGACAGTGCCCGGTCCAATACTTAGAGAATATTGGACCGGCAATAGAGCATTTTGATTGGTTGATTTTAGTTATTGGCCCTCTGACTGCCCGAGTCGTGTAATAAGACATTTTAATTTGCCTTCAAGATTTAGAATGGCAACGGGCTCGTCAGTTAAGCCAAGACCTTTTGACACTGGATGACATGAATGTGTTATTTCGATATATGAACATGGTTCTTTTGAATCCTTTTAGGATCCAGGTGCGTCGGAGACAATTGAGGAGGAACTGGGGCTGACTGGGGCCACAGCCGATGATGTGGAGACCGAATACGTGAGAAAAATCTGTGAACACGATATTGTTACTGGTATGACGTACAATTGTTTAATATCTGGACTAGCTGTGTGGGTTAATTTACTTAGTTCTTATTAACCGAGCGGGAGGTCTGTATGGGAGAATCTTGACCTCGGTCGCCAGTACAGACCGAACGCAGTGAGGTCTGTACCAGCGACCGAGGTCAAGATTCTCCCATACAGACCGACCTAGCTCGGTTAATAAGATGTTTATTACATGGCTGTCTTATATGCCAATATTTTATATTCTTTGTACCTTTTTTTTCTAGACCAGTCTAGATGGGAAATCTAGACCGCTTTCAATGTTGATTTCAGCCAATCAAATTCGTGAATTCTGTAGTTCCCAGTCCTTGTGAGACACAGCCATATAACAATTTTTTATATTAATGAGTGAGATTATTTTTGATTAATGCCAACCCCAACATTAGCAGTTATCAAGGGACTGTTGTTGGTTTAGGGGAGGATTAGGTGCGTAGTTGATCAGATACTGAAATCCAGATTTTTTGCTGCCAGGCGGGTAATTTTCTTGTGTCGTTTTAGGAAATGTTTTCAAAACGTGTTGTATTCACGACAAATCAAGGGAGGAGGTCCTTTGCAACCGCTTCAAATAATGGTCGTAATGAAATGGAAAGTTTGATACTTTTCATTTTGTAGCGCTATACTTTATAGAGGGAAAGCGAATAGAGGGTAGGGAGATATTTTGTATTTGCATGATTTGATTCCAAGTTCAGCTGATGACATACATTAAAACAAATCGATTATCTTATCCAAGCTAAACAGGTTCTTATCTATAGGTAACTAAAAACGAAATAGAGGCGGTAGCCCCCTAATCCACCAGGAACTTTATACAGATGTTACCGTAGTTCTCACAGCGGGCTTGCTAAATGTTGTTTAATTAGCATATCTTTTGTTACTTTGGATTTTTCAGGAGGTACGCTACTGGCCACCTTGCGCCCGCTGTTAGTGCATGTCTGCAGTAATCCGGTAAAGTTCAGTGATACAAACTTACGGGCAGCTGCGTCACTGGCTCTTGCCAAGTTCATGTTGGTCAGGTAAGTTCATGGCTGAACTATAATCAATCACATATCCACTAGTTCTGTGCCACATTCGTTTTCCTTTCGAAAGCAAACATGCATTTATTCTTTTGTAGGCAGAACAAGGCGGTCATGTGGACAGATAATTCCGCAACGCAGTGTGCTACACTTCCTAATTCTTCGTTTGTTTTAATCTTAAAAAAAAAAGAAAAGAAATATAATCCTGTAGGTTTCATTTCTAAAAACTGTTTTTACCAGTTCTTGATTGATCAGATGTAAAATTAAAAAAACTTGTCGCCCTTGGAAAAGAGAAAGAGTCAAACGATCTCTTTTGATCGCTTCTTGTTCATATGGATTTTTATTAAGCGGTCTTTTTGAGGATAAATATTTGTCATAATTAACAGGACAGTAGGTCCAATAGCTTAGACTCTACACACACTTATGCTGTGGAAGATTTGTAGTTAAATATTTTTCTTGCTTTAGCAGTATGTTCTAGCCACGACATTTCATTCATCCAAACTATCAACTAATTGTTTGATATTTCAGCTCTGAGTTTTGCGAAGAGCATCTCCAGCTTCTGTTCACGATTCTAGAGAAGGTAATTTTACTTAGTGCGTCATGTTCATACTCAAATTTTTAAGTTAACAATTGACGAGGTGATTAACAGCTTTGGAATCCTTGAATCAAAGGAAAAAACAAATGTTTCCTAAACTTGTTTTTACAGCTTCGTACATCTAGCGTTTTCCTTTGTGTGTTCCACAGGCTCCTCAAGCCACCATCAGAGCAAACACCATAGTTGCCGTTGGTGACCTGACGTTTAGGTTTCCTAACTTGATTGAGCCATGGACACCTCATCTGTACGCCAGGTGACCAAACCCCTCAAGTTATTAACCTTTTACGCACTAACATCAGTATGCAAGGTCTCCATGCCGTTCTTTATACATTTCCTAAGGTTCTGACAAAGAAATCTGTTTAACAATCAAGAGCTTCTTTAACTTGCGATCATTTCCTTTATCCTCGTGACCTTAATGTGTGATTTAGGGGTGATACTGTTATGAGAAATTACATGCTAGTCACTCTTCGGGTGACCTCACTTGAACGCACTTACAAGGCGTACTTTTCTTAAATGTAATTTTAATGGCTTTAGTAGCCATCCACTTTCTGCAAATTTAACTAATTTAACTAAAAGTTAACGACCATCCAGCTAAAAAAATGCATGATATCAAGCATTGCATAAATAGCAACCATTCTGGTGCCATTCCCGTACCATAAAGGGAGAAATTTCCTTCTAGGCTTGAGAAGTCGGCCGTGACAATTATTTTTTGATACATTGTAGATTGCGCGATGAGTCTAGCCACGTGCGTAAGAACACGCTGATGGTGCTCACACATCTGATTCTGAATGACATGGTCAAGGTCAAAGGTCAGATCAGTGAGATGGCCACGTGTTTAGAGGACAAAGACAGCAGAATATCCGATTTGGCCAAGCTGTTTTTTTTGGAACTGTCTAAAAAGGTGAGATCCTTTCAATTTTATGTTACTCTTATTCAGCCATCTGCTGTACTTGCCCCAAATACAACCTTCAGTTGTAAGTGTTTTTCAAGAAATTGCGATAGACACAATCACCTGAAGAATCAATTTTGAAAGCTTCAGAAGTCAAGAATAGTACGAGTAGTCATTCATCATTTCCCTCGACTTAAAATCACTGAGCTGAGACATATAACACAAATATCACGAGTGAGATCGTGATACCCGCCAATTTCACCACATCTCTCACTTATGCTGTGACTTTTAGTAGCGCACGCTGCCATTTCACACCAATAAGCTAATGCTTAACTAGTATTTCTCCCAATATAATCAGTAGGAATGCCAAAACTAATGCGCACTTTGTTAATGTTTGTTGCAGGGCAACGCTATCTACAATATTCTACCAGACGTGATTAGTCGGTTATCAGACCCCGACTGTGGTACGGAAGAGGAACCCTTCAGAAACATTATGAGGTATAAGCATGCTCAGGATGTATTTGTATAATAATTTGTTTCGAGACTGTAATTATCGCAATTGCCTATTGGAATATAAACCATTCGATAGATGAAGCCATCTTCGCTTCTACCTGGGAACATAAGGCGTCGACCGTGGATCTCCACCGGACCCTGTTTTTGGCAATTCTTTTGCCTCTTCCCAGGTGATGTTATTCTTGTCAAGCTCATCTTGAACAGTGCGTCTCCAGACCCTAACTATTTTTTTTCTCTTGTATCACAGGTACTTGCTGTCCTTTATCCAGAAAGATCGTCAGTCTGAGAGCCTTGTGGAGAAACTGTGTCACAGATTCAGAGCAACCAAGTAAGCTGTTTGCACTACGTAGAAAACTTAGCATTCATTTGAACCAAACACAGAAGCAGAACTGTGAAAACAAAGAAATCCCTAGGAATAAATAGTAGCCTTGGAAGTGATACTTAGTTGGATAAGTAAAAGATCTCTAAATACGTTAAATAAACCGAAATGAGCAGGGATATCCTGTAGTCGTAGGGGTTGCGGTGTCGTTTGTTTCGGTAGTGGTAGTGGGTCGGTGAGTGTTTCGTCGGATGAAGTCGTTGTTGTAGTTGTTCTTCGTAAAAACACGGTGAAGGTATTTGTTCTCGTCGGATAAGCTGTCTGTCGAGTCACATACTAGTTGTGCGCGTCGTGTTAGAGTTCTGATAGTTGTGGCTTTGTGTGATGTAGGGTTGTAGGATGACTCGTCTAGTAATCTGTCGGTGTGTGTCGGTTTCCTGTAAACTGTCGTTCGTAATGAGTTGTCGTTGTGGCTTACCAGGCAGTCTAGAAAAGGAAGTTTGCCATTTTCTTCGACTTCTCTGGTAAACTGTATGTCAGTGTTTTGTTCGTTAAGGTGGTTGTGGAATGCGTCAATTTCGTCGTGTCGAACGGCGGTGAATGTGTCGTCAACGTAACGTAACCAAAGCGGTATCGTTTGTCGGCAAGTCGAAACAAGGCAGAAACCTCACAACAAGACTGACTGAACACAGACGGGCGACGAGGAAAGGTGATGTCAGCAATCACATTGCTGAACACCATCGACTTACCAACCACAACATTGACTGGGACTCTGCGCAATGCCTAACCTACAGCACTGACTATTTTCAACGACTGACTCTGGAAAGCTGGTTTACTAACTTAGAACAGACTCCCCTAAACAGATGTCAACAACTACCCGCTCCATACAAACGACTCATTCACGACATAAACATCACAAACGACCGAAAAAGAACGACCTAACTTTACCGACAGATCGAAACAGACCAATCACGACCGACTTACGTCACTTGAGTCTTACAGCCAATAACATCACGGCAAAACCAACCGATCATTTCACACGAACTGGAATAAGAACATTCTACTGACAACAATCATTCACTTGACTCTGATGATGACTTCCGCACAGGTTGTCGAAACGTCAGTCACTACCACCGACAACAGTCCTTCTCAGGACTACACTCACCCGGACGATCAGACTACACCTTCACAATTTTTATGAACCTTGTCATAATTCAACAACCACACTCACATAACAGACTCAATTGATTCATTTAATTCCTTTTCGTGCATTACTCATTTCTGAGCTGTTTTGGGACTACAACTACTCTTTCCTCTTTTCTTGGTTATTGATAGCACCATTTTGTATCTTCTTTTCACTCAGGACCGATCGTCAGTGGCGTGACCTCGCCTTCTGTCTTTCCATGCTGTCGTACAACGAGCGAGGAATCCGCAAATTGCAGGAGAACTTCTCTTGCTTCCACGATAAACTGGCTGAGGAAGATGTGTACCACTCCTTCCTAAGCATTGTCGGGAAAAGTAAGAAATTTGCCAAACCAGAAGTGAAAGTAAGTACGCAAAGCGTGCTACAGAGCCTCAATTCAGCTCTTCTCCTGATTATCTCGCTGAGAAAAAATTCATCCAGTTCTAGCATATTCAACATTGGTCAATTCTAAACACAACGAAGAAAGATGTGGTATTGCATCGGTTTTGCTTTTTTCAAATTGAGATTAGTCTGAAAAACTCGCTGAATCCTCTCACCCTAATATTTGTAAAATTTGTGCCAATGGTATGGCAGGTTTGTAACTATAGTTTTCATTGGTTCTTTGTGGTATTTTGTTGCCGCTGATTGGCCCTTTTTTTATGTTGTGGCGAGTGATCGAAACACGGTTTTTGCGGTTGACATTTGTCAGTTACACCTGGTGTTGATTTTCCACAACACGTCATCAGACGTTGCAGTCATAAAATGTATAAAACTATCGATAAATTACCAAACTCTCATAATTCAAAATAGGGTAGTGTAAAGCGATAGGAAGTGAGAATTCATCATTCAATTTCTTGTCATCAGGCTTTGGTGGATGAATTGGAACAGCGTATTAATTCTTGTCACACTAAGGGAATGGAGGACGAGGAGGACTTTGAACGAGCTTCCAAAGCCCTAGGAGCAGCAACGGGAAACAAGCTTAAAAAGAGTGCAGCCACCCCTTCAGGTAAGCGGTAATTTGTTTTCCAATTTAAAAATAGCTCAGTTTCCTCTGTTAGTTTTGCTGTATGTAATATACTGGTTTCCAAGGAATTTTGTTTTTCTCCCACCCCCGCCCTTATTAACTCCTCTGGTTGGAGCTGTGAGAGTAGTGTCCTGCTCAAAAACACAGCACACTGACCGACCAGGTTTTTAACCCAGGCCTTTCGATCTGGAGTCAAACGCTAGTTACCAGGCCACCACGTCTTCTCACTAAGTACAATATCCTCGGAAAGAAAATTTTAACAGCGACATCTCCAGTCATGTGAAATTTTTTCCTTTTCTTCCGCAATCAGAACGATTGCAAATGGCATTTCTCCAGCGTTACGTAAACGAAGTTGTTATCTTTTAGCCAAGACAAGCCGAGGCCTTAAAGGTCGCACGCCGGCAACAAAGAAACGGCAAGCAAAAACTGTCGACGATAGTGACGCTGAAGAACCTAGCCCCATGCCCCTCAGGACTCCTCGCAGTGTTGCTCGACCGCCAAAGCCTGGGAAAGCCAAATCTACCAATCAGAAACGGCGAAAAATGCCTTCGTTTGAAAGCGACGAGGATGATAGCATAGAGTTATTTGACGTGGGTGAAGAGGAGGAAGAGGATTGCCAGAGAGGAATTGATTGGAATGACGAGGAAAATGTCAATCCAAATGTGTCGAATAAAAATAAAGCAAACGACGCCAAATCACAGAAGGGAAGAATCCACTCACAGAGTGTAAGAAAATCAAACCGAAGGCGTGTTAGTAGCACGTGACAAGCTTACATATCATATTGTAAATACTTATGTTTATCTTATTGTTCTTGAGTGATTTCGATAGCCCGAAATGTAGATTAAGGGGTTGTTTTTAACCTACTGTGTTAATCAGTTTTAGCAGCATCGAACTCATAATGTTATGATATTGTTTTGGGGGAAAATCGACTCACTATAGTGAATCTTTTATCGACTAGGGACTCTGTGGTAACCAATGGAAATAAAGCTATTTTAAACTTCACAAGAAGAGCGTGCTTATCGTTTGGTAAAGAATATAGGGTTGTTGACGCAAGTTTGACTTCTACGTGTTACTTCTTTTTTACAAGTTTCGTGAGAATTTTTTTATTGTCACTTATACTTTGAAGCCTGTACATACACATTTTTTCTAATTCCTAGCAATAAAAGATTTAAGTATATTATGTCTGTTTTTTCGTTTGCCGTTATTTCTTTTTGGTCTGGTTATGTACGCCTTTCCACTTAAAGCACGGAAAAGGATTCGTAAATTCAACCTAAACTAATGTTCAGGGCGTAGCGTAGAAGCTTGCACAATGGCGCAACCTGGTTGTTACTTTCGTTTGAAGTCCTCAACCAATCAGAAAACCCACGCAGGTCACGTGGATCTCTGCTCAACGTCATCATCAGAACGAGTCACTAATCTGACTATTAGGGGCTCTTTCAACTCTAAATTGTCAGTTGCACGAATGATAAAACGATACCAAACGTCGCCCCCAGTACTTCTGCAAGCCACAGTAATTGCGACACTATGGGGCACGTGTCGTTTCGCTGTACCCTGATTAGTGATTGACAGCTTGATGCCATGGCAACGGACACGAAACTATTTGTGAAGGCTAGCATGAAGAAGAAACTTATGATGAACAAATTGTTATAGACCAAGAACGGCGAACGGATGAAAATCACGGCACAGACGATAAAACCGAGGCGAAGAATTGACGCTGATGAATAAAGGAACATCGCTACGTCGTTGTTGAGTTTTGGCTGTCCATTGCAACAATGACGAGATAGAATTTCTCCTAAATAATGACCAACTCTGAAAAATGCGATCAAAACTGTAGCCAGGTACACTTTCCAGAAAGGTTCAGCGTTTGATCGTGGATTTTCAAAGGTCGCTTCATGAATAGATGGCGTTAGAGATAGCACAAAGTAACTTGTAAATGAGAGCGTAAACTCCACAAATAAATACCACTTTATTGTGTGATACCGTCTTCTGGCTGTTTCTGGGACAGATCCTAACGTAATATTCTTGGGACTGTGAGCAATGCAGTCACGAGCCGCAAATAGTTGATATATCCCACTTTTACGAAGTTTCATGAATGATACCAGTCCTGTTATGATTCCAAGAAACACGACACTGAACGACGCGTAAAGGCAAAGTCTGGTAGAGTCAGTCAGCTGTGGTTCGGTGGAGTTAAGTCCCAGGGAAAGACAGAATATTATTTGGACCACCGCAGGTAACAAGGATCCAATTCCTGGAAAAGAAATCAAAGTTGAGTCCCTATTGTTAGTGTCCTGCCCGATAAAGACGGTAAAACAAGATGAAGTTGCGAATAGAGCGCTTTTATAGACCACTTTCATAAACGGCTGCCGGATTAATATTCTTTCGTTTAAATTTAAATTAGCTCTTCTGGCCTCGTTCTCCAGTACAAAATTCTAAAGAATACATTATCTCAAGCGAGGCCAGAATGGCTAATTTAAATTCAAACAAAAGAATATTAATCCAGCAGCCATTTATGAAAGTGGTCAAAATTGTGTCGAAAAACCAAGAAAGTAACGACAGCCAGTTACTGCAAGGAAAATATCACCAAGAGCCAATGGGATCTCAAATCAAGTAAAAAGAACCAAGCTGCCCAAAGCGCGGGAAAACGCGGGCAACTAAGTCGTGATTGGTTGGGAAAGTGGCGCGAGTTTTTTGGGCCAATCAGAGAGCGAAGTAAAGCAAAACCAAAGCCATCCTGGATTACTTTCGACACTCAAATGAAAATTGCTCTATTACCGAACCAAAGCTTTAATTGCATCTACAGTTAGTTCCATTATAAATGAATAAAGGCTGATAGTTTCGAAAGAAACTGTTGGGGCTGCGTCGGTGGGAGTAACGAAATAATTTGGATATATCAACAAAGTTGAAGTGGTGAATTGGTCACCGTAACGATTACAAAAGCTGACGTTTCGAGCGTTAGCCCTTCGTCGGAGCGAATAGAGGAATTGTGGGTTGTGTGTGCTTTTAAAGGCAGAGAATGGAGCTACGTTATTGGTGGGAACATGGCAACGAGAAAAACAAGAATAAATTAGTGGAATGAAAAGCGTTCATTGATCCCTGTGGGATTGAGACTGCCGGTTTGAAAGATGAGCTTTTGTTCAAGATTTTTACGGATTTCCGTGCTACCTAAGTGTAAGGAAAGACCGCAGATTGACGTAAAAGGGCGTTGAAGCTCCAGCAGGCAATTGCTGTATTCCCATTCATATTCCACAAACAGAAGCACTAAGTGATCTTGTATATGATGCAATCGGGGCAGCCTGAATGACGTAATAGACTATCATCATCGCCGAAGCAGGTAAAGCAGTTTGACCCTATCTCCTCCCCAATGCCACTCGGGCATCTCTCTCCCGCAAGTTGGGAGATGCTCGCATAACTCAATAACACAATCCGTGATTAGCTTCCGATTTCATATCCTTCGTTTCTTGACCAAAGAATGCATTATGAGTGTTATAGTATGGAGATGTTCTGTATTGACTGTCCGTTTGTTGTGAGCCCGCGTAGTATGCAGCGGTAATGTTACCATGTGCTCTTATTAATATAATCTTGCTGTTGACCTGCCATCTTGTGTGTGT